ATATATGCCCGATAAATACATTTTGAAGAGGTGGAAGAAAACTGTGAAATCTGGATTGGTGTCAGATGCAAATGGCAACGAAATTAAAGACTTTGCAGATCCTGGTCTTTTAATAAAGCGGAGTACAATGTCTCGACTTGCTTCAAATATGGTTGAGGATGCATTAATGTGTGAATAAGGATGTGAGCTACTGTCAGAGACTCTAAGAAGTTTGCGGGTGAAGTTGAAGTTGTTGAAGGATGGACCAAGTAATAACAAAGTTGGAGGGTCCAGCTCTCAAACACAATATATGAAAGACCCTAAGAGAGTAAGGTGCAATGGAGGGTCGAAACGAGTAACGGGAGCAAAGGAAAAGGCAATGAAGCGAGGGATTAGACACTGTCGAGAGTGTGGACACATTAGTCATGATAGAAGACAATGCCTAAGAAATTTGAACACACCATAAGATGTTAACACTATTTATAATAAGACCTAAAATTTGAATAGGTAAAGTTTTTATGAGCTTCTGTTTGATGTTTATGCAGGACATCACCGTCGAACAGTGACGAATCAACTCCAATAGATCTTAGTGACCCATTATTCGACGAATTTTACAGGATGCACGGACTAACTCAATGATTTATGTTTCTATTATACGAAGCCCGGTTATTATGAAGAGTAATGATAAGGTGAAGTTTTCTAGATGCAGTTTTATTATTATTATTTTTTTGTTCATGTCCACCGATGAGCTCTTACTATGTCCACTGATAATTGAAATGAAAATTTGCTTGGTTTCATTCTTGCATGAAATTTGGACACATACTAATTTTACGTCTTTTACCTATTTAGAAATTTTCATAGACATTAGATAAAGTATCAAATTTTGAGTTATGTGAATAAGCAATGACTTTTACCTTGTAAAATGGGTAGTTTATGGTGAATTATGTTTTAACAGAGATTCATTGATTATATGACAGGCTAATGCAGCATTTCTAGCAGCCAGCTGTTGTTTCCATTACTAGTAATGATTTCCAACAGTACTCATCATTTCTAGCAGCACCCACTTTTTCCGAATGTTATGTTCTAGTGTTTTACTGGTTATTAAGATCTGAGCTCGACTAGATATTAGGTGCACGATTTTGCAAACATTCATAACTGAAGGATACTTGAAGCACTTTGTTGGAACAGAAAGATTAGAAAGCAGCGTGTAAAAAAGTACATTGCAGCTAATCACATTTCGAATAGTTGGAGAATATTAAAGGGTACACTAACATTTGAACTACTCATAATTCCACACATAAAAGAAAATTTGATTGCAAAGCATTTTATGTGCTCCCTCTTAGCAATACCACGATCTCCCCCAATCAACTGAACAAAGGTAGCCACAATCATTAGGTCGTATTGGTCAGCTTCTTCTTAGCAGGTCTCACGTGCTTATGGTCACTCATGTCCCCAGTGATATAGACAAAATAAATATTTAGCAATATTTGGAATTTTAATATATATATATATATAAATAAACCATAAACCATTCACTAAACAATGTATAGCACATGGTATGTTACTTATGACTTACATGTCATGATAATGGGGCTTTACTGATTCCCAACGTGCTGTGATATTGACTGCTTATTGAATAATATTTCCATATTTGCAAAATATAATGTTAGACAGAAGGAACACATGACGACTTGCAAGACATAGTCCCAATAATTATATATGAAGCAAATGAAACTGATATTTGTATTATTTTATATTACATAATGACATTAAGGGAATATCCTTCTAATTTGTGCAATACCACGATCACCCCCAACCAACAGAACAGCTGTAGCCGCAATCACTTAGTCGTATCGGTCGGCTTCTTCCGAGCAGCTTTGACGTGCTTATGCTCATTCATGTCACCACCATAGTCTAGTATCTCTCTCACAGCATCAGGGGACACATAGTCCCAATTATAACTTGTATGAGTAGTTGTCGCGAATGCTCGGAATTTTTCGAATCCTTCATTGAATGCCAACTCCAGTTCACTGTGATGCTCTTCGCATCGCATATGGTTCATCAAACAACTTTTAATTTCATCATTCATTACTGTATCCAACTCCTCAGCTTTCAACTTCCTTTTATGACTCAGCTTCAAGTACATGTTCTTTTGGGAGAACGCTTTGTTCACTCTAATTTTTCAACCTCACCAATTTGAAGAGTAGAGGCTACCCAGATGAGAAATTGGGTGGGCAAGAGAAGAGTAGAACTACCCAAGGGCAAGGGAACTCAAAATTGGATAAAATTGTTGATCTTGGTTCCTCCATTTTGCTTCAATGAAATTAATTTTTGTTTTTGAAGCTGTTTTTGTTTTTGTTGTTAACATAATTGATATCTACATTGTATTTTTGTTACAGTTTTTGTGTGAAAAAGTATTGAAATGATTTTTTTTAATTTTAAAAATCGTTGATTGTTTATATAAATAGTATAACTGAATAAATATTACAAAATTAAGTTTGGTGTAGTGGTTTGTGAGTGAGTCTTCCTCTTTTGAGGGTCAAGGTTTGAGTCCCTTCAATGATACAAATTTTTTATTTTTTTTTATAAAAAATGTGAATAAAAGGCAATGGAGTTGGTCCCCTGCAGACGGTGGCGGTGGCAGTGGTGGTTGGCTAGATATGGACATGTGGCATAGTATGCTTGCTTTAGAAGGAGTGACATTTTGTGTAATTTTAATATTTTTTAATTGTATTTTTGTAAAATTAGGTACTACATTTTGGTCTTTGGCCTTATGCTAATTAAATGAAATTGTATTCCTATTTTCCAAATTAGTAAATTGTATTGTGTTTTAAAACTAAAGCTTCCTTTATTTTTCTAGTCATCATTAGTGCAGATGCAGTGTGTGATTTATAATATTTAAATTGCTTATACTTACAATTAATTAATAACTCGAACATGATGAATATGATCAAGTGTTATCCCTTTCCCCTTGTAAAAAGGAAATATGGATGTTGACATTTAAGGGTCATGGGCTTTTTCCCATATGCCATTGATGAGAAGCTTGACATTTGCCAGAATAAATGGGGCGTCCTAATTTCCCATACATCAGTCAGTGTGGGAGAGAGTCAAAACAAGGAAATATAATGTTGGAACAAATACAAATATAAAATAAAATTGTACGAATTTAATTTTGTGCGTGGTGTGGTATGGTCCACTACAGGGACAACTATGGGTCGATTCGGTCATTTTTTTGTTCTAATGTTTTCTTAATGGGCTATTTTTTTGAGCCCCTTGTTCTATATTTTGGGTTTGTTTTGTTATTTGAAGGACCTTGTATTTTATATGATTTTTGTATGTAACTCGTCATTGTGATTTTGGGTCTGTTTTATGAGTGCTTCTATAGTGAGTGGAAAGTTATAAGGGGTTTTTTTGAGGGGTATGTAAGAGCCGTTGGATTTCATACAACGGTGAGTTTTTAAAAGATGGTGCATGTAGAACCGGGTTGAAATTTGACCCGTTTGGAAACCCAACTTCAGCTGAAGATTTTTCCCTCTCTGTGAAAAACTCAAAAACACAATCCTCTCTTTTTTAATGTAATGCAAATCCACAATTAGAAAGATCCAAAGCTCCCAAACTCTATAATCGCTCCATTGTCATCAGCTCTTTGGGAGACTTGCGATCTATGGTGTCCTCGGTATGACGATTAATGGCTTTTACCTAGCTATTGCCCTGTTTTGATTCTATGATTCAAGTGAAAACCCCTTCACTTTTCATTCAGCAGAAGAGATTCCAGAAGAAAGCAAAGTAGCATATCTCTTTTTCGTGTTGCTGCAGTTGTTCCTCGATTTTGGTAGAGAT